TTTTGCACATTCGGCAAGTACATTATATTCTGTTTAAGATCCAGTTCAATCCACTTTTAGGAAACGAATCTAATAACAAATAACAGCAGTAATTGCAATTATCACCATCACAATAGATGGTAGCTTGACCGTGACCGGGCTTACTGTAGCAATCGGGCCATTGTTTTGAATTTATTTTCGATGATTTCCACTCTTGCTTCTAATCTCATGCAGTCTTTTTTCAGTTCACGGTTATCCTTTTTCAGTTGGGCATTTTGATGTCTCAGTTGCTCGATTTCCCATTCCAGCTCATCTCGTGCCATATAGGTTGCCCTGTAATAGTTCTGCATGCGATAATTGCATTGGAAATCACTTCACGAGACAACTGTAATGATTGGACCACTGAGGAGTTTAAACGATCAGATATTGTAATCTTATCAAGTTAGGTAATGAGTGATGCCCAGTTATCTAGGGTCTAGCTGATGATTTATCACGGAATGTTAAATAATTAACTACAGTTCACATCTGCCATTAACTACAGTTTCAAATCTCAAATCAGTTCTGGGAATTTCGAAATAAATGAGCTTATCCACCCAAAAAGAAAAAGTGGACAGTGACACTTCTGTTCATAAGCAATGGTGAGAAAATCCTTAAATGAATGTAGGAAAACTCCAAAGAAATTGAATTTCGCTCTTATCCAAAACTAATTACCAAGTGTTATATATTTACAGTTCTTGTTAATTTAATGACTAATATGTGTGACAGATTCAGCATTACCATAAAGAGAATGTCTGAAGGACTCCTCTGTTTTCAAGTTAATCAACAAAATTCTAATTTTCCTGGGGGCTAATTTTCCTTCCTGAAGTTTTTACGCAGGAAATCTATTTACGTGGAAAGTTCAGATTTCTATTGATTTGAAAGCTTTCCACCAAGCATTTCCAAAGAAACAAACTTCTCAAGTTTATTAACTGTTGAGTCGATCATGAAACTGTCTATTCGCTGAAGGGATTGCAACGCCTTCAGTCTGATCACTTCACCCAATTTCTCTTCCATCAGTGCTGCCAAGTTTGATTTGTAATGTAATTGCGCACGCTTTGCTAGTTCGGCTATTGGCTTCCAGTTGATTGTTATCTGTAAGAAAGTCCTTTAACGTTATTCCTTTCTCTTCTTTCTCAAAATGATCAATTTGTGTGTGTGTGTGTGTGTGTGTGTGTGTGTATGTACGTATAAAAATGTAACTATATCCGAAATCAGAGATTCAATAAGGTTTTGGATGAATAAAGTGTCTGGAAGTTTCCCTAATAACTCACTGACCAATTGCCAGGGTAAACAACTAAAATAGCCGCTTGTAAATTTGCATCAGTTCTGCAGTCCATCACTTCTAAAAGGTAGTCCTTTTTAAATGAATTTATACATCAGTAAAACTTACATCTTTTCCACTTTCCATCATTTCTTTTGCTTTTTCCACTATGTGGAAAGTTTGATCGAGTAATTCACCATACGGGAAGCAACAAACACCTGAAACTGTGGACTCGTAATAGTAGTGTTGTGTAACCAACGATGTATGTCGCTTTTGTACTGTACTGGTCACAACTGTTCCTGATCTCAGCAAATAAAACAATGGGAACCTTCATCCATAGCTGGACGTAATATATCGACGGGATTGAGAATATGCACTTGTACACTGGTTAAAGTAGACAGTACGTTGTGGAGATCAGGCTCAGAATGTACACGTCGTTGACAATCCGTCAATAATTTGTTCGCTTTTTTAACTAGTGCATGATAACCACTGTTCAGTGCTTGTCCACATAGCTCATCCCAGTGCGGATGAACTTGTCTCAGCTCGCCTAACTAAAATTTATTTTATCAGTGTACTAATGAATGCCAAATGAAATAATTAATATAAATTCATATTTAACTAGTGATTTTTCTTAGGCCAACTTTGGTTTGGATAAATAACTGATTGGAAAATTTATGCATACTGGATCAATAATTAGGAAAATTGAAAAATATTATTATTGACAAATTCCTTTAATTTGGCATTCATTTCAAATTAAAGACATGAAAGTCATATAACTGAAGTAACTCATGGAAATATTTAATGAGCCCATGCATACGCCAAACATTTATCCACTTCTCTAACCGTTGTGAAACTTGTTTAGTGGATAAGATGGACTTCTATTCAAGTAGTACTCGAACTTAATTTGGGCATTATCAAAACTACACATATCCTTTATTAGTACTTTGAGCTCAGTAAGTCTGTGTTTACTGTTTTAAGCAGCTTCCATGAAATTCTATCTAACCTCTTTGTAGGAAAATTTTTTGAGAACCAACTGAAGTACTTGTACTGGAGGCATTTCTTCATCGGCAAACCTTCGTATTACTGAAATATCATCCCTGGAAGGAAGCCTGAAATATGGAAATTGTGTCAGATTTATTATATGTAATATTAATAACTTATATTAATATTTTATGTTTGAGTTTTGGTTTTAAAGTTTATGTTCGAGTTTGCCACACCTAAGTGTGGTTTTTAAGTTTTTAAGCACTTGATAATTAATATCGTAAATATGCGAAACTTTATCCTTGCAAGTAATGTTTTTGTATTGACAAGTACTTCAGTTATCATGGATGACAGACTAACTATAATAAAATGTTTATGAACTCACTGCTCACGTTCAAGATATATGATGATAATTACTGCATGCAGGGAAACTGATAATATGGGGACAACATTATTGCTTTGATTAAGTTTAAAAGCAAATGGACCTATAGAAGATAAAAAAAAGAGAGAAATTGAAACTATTTGGAAAAATTTGTATTTCCTTTTTCTGAAAAAAGCTCAACTACAGATAATTACCAACGATCGTCGAAAGTGTTGCAAAGGATATCGTTCTCAGCTTCTCTCAATTTTTCTTTTTTAAATTGGAAACGAAAGCTAACACAGAATGATTTGCAAGAAGTCCTTAAAATAGCTTTTCTGCGATTTTTCTCATTTCCTCCAAAATAATGCCTCACTCCTTAGTCATTTCTTTCTTTTACCCAAAAAAAAAACAATCGATTTCGTCAACTTTGTTCTACTATGAAATATCGTTGCTTCTCCTACTGCTAGGAATGTATCCGATGTTTCCGTTTTCAGTTGTAACTACGTTACAAACAATCGGATTTGTAGTTATTCCGTCGGATTTCCCAGGAGGAGATGAAATAAGAATTAGGTTAGAATATTAGTCGTTTCCGGTTGCTACTCTTTAGTTAACTCCAAAAAAAACAAGTGATGAAGAGAAAAACTTTCCTGTGTATACAATCGTTTATTTATCAAGACTGCAGGAGATATGTGGAATGCACGGTATATCGATTTCATCTATCAATAATATATTTTTCAACGTTACCTTACCACTGAGGAACACTTCTGTCACTTCTTGCTTTTTCTTTTTCTTTTTTTTGAAATTATATGGAAAGTTACCTTTGCAAGCTGTCAGAGCCATTAGAGAAGAAGCTCCTCGGAAAAGTTGAGTTGATGTACATTGGCGCAGAACGTCTCATAGGAATCAACGAATCACGCCCATTCAAGTAACGATCTGACATCCTGTGACCATTAGTTAACTCTACAGCAATCCTATCCCAGTCTTCTGATTCTTCTTCCTCCTCTTCTTCGAGAATTCTTCCCACTTTCTTATTCATTTCGTATTTGATGTTATTGCGACGCACTATGAGTGATGCAGGCAGCTCGCTGTGGCTTGTTAGTGTGTTACCTGCGGCAAAAGTAACAATGTTAGCAGTATTATCAGAAGTACTGATGTTATCGTTATCAGTCGTTTTTAGGTTTACTTTAGATGTCGGAACCGGAAGAGGTACCGCAAATTCAGCACCATTAATTGATTCAGTTTGTTTCACGATTGATGGAATGCGTTCGTGTTCATCCAATTCATTGCCTTTTGTACATTTTGATGATCTTTCGGTATCCGAATCAACAAGCGAAACTCCTGAATCAGCGGAACCGTCACCATTTATATAGTTCTCACTATCCACAGTGTTTGTTAATGAATTTCTTGCCTTCGAAACTACTGCTTTCTTAATGTTAACAGAAATGTCGTTTCCGGTTTTCGTATCCTCGTCCGCAATTCCAATCGTTGTTGGTGGCATTGTTACTGCTGGAGCAAGTTTCTTACGGACAATTTTCTGTCCGTTATTGTTTTTGATTGTCTTCATTGCAGTTGTTTTACCACTAGTTTCTGTATCGGCAACACTTTTGTCCGCAAATGACTTTTTAACAGTTTTTTTGCTTGTTTTCGGTTTTGGTAATAGTTGCGATGCTGATGTTTGCTTCAGTTCACTTAACCATAGAATAGTACACTCCGCATAACTTTTGATCGGTTTTGTTTGCGCATGGAGCATATGAAATTGAGCGGTACCCGACTGCAGTTCCATAACTAGAAAGCACCAACTGATTCCAAGTTTCTGGTTGAAAACTTTTTGCAATGGTGTTTTCCAGTCATCACCACCTTCCAACACCAAATGTAAATATTCACTAGCAAGCCCATCCGTAACAACCACGCCTTCCTGAAATTAAAAAGATTACAAATCAATGCAGAGAAGCTCGTCCTGAGAACTTTCCCTTGTCTCATTAATGAATTCCTCTATAATATAATCAACAAAATTCTTTTTGTATGCAGATCTCAGTTGCTGTCCTTAATTGTCAGTCATCATTTTCTTTGTCCATCATCCACACTTTCCTTTAGGAACAATATTTGTCATGAGATGATTTTCCTTAAGGAACTTCTTTGGAAGCAAGATATAAGTGAGGATAGCTTTATTTCTGTTATGATTGTTAGAAATATGGGGCAGAATTAGTTCATGTGTAACATTTGTTCTATCTGGAGAAATAGCGAGGTATTTTCATAAAAAAGCTCATTATCTGGGAGATTTCCTTGGTTACTTTATAAACCCACGATATTACAAACATATATAAAATTTTTATTTCATATTGTCCAGCTTAATGAGTTTTAAATAGCAATCCATGCTTTTTGAAGTAAACAAGTGATAAATAAATTCAGTGAAAAATAAATTTTATTTATGAAATTCTTTTTTTCCTTTTTTTTTTGTTTCGCGATCTCCACAAATATCCGACGATGTTTTTTGTTGTCATTTAATAGGCCTCTTTCTATTTGTGCCAAAAAAGATCGCATCTTTTTGCATTTATGTGGCCGTTTATCTGTCCCATATTACATTCACATGATCTGTTTTCTTGTAAACTTCGCGAAAAATAGCTTCTCAGTTAAATAACGAGCAATTTTTGAGTAACGAAATCTTACCGACGTGGCAGAAACTTGATAAAAATCCTTTGGTATCACAGAACCTGAGGGCAGCAAATGAATTTTTTTTCCTAATGCATGGAATGCGCAGTTGAATGGTGGTTCAGTAAGTTCGGGTGACACTTCCATACTGCATTCGGCGCCTTGAAACTTTTCACAAATCGCACTTTGTATATCTGCAGGACAATAAGCATAAATTTGCAAAAGCTGTAATTTCGATATCAGACCTCAAATCTTAATACTAATTAATCTGGATTTCGGTCCCAAATGCCTGTAGATAACATGAAAAACCGAAACGGAAAAGTGGATGTTAGACTTTTGCACTGTGCAGCATAATTTTAAATTCTTTTGTTGAAATCTATTTTTGATCTTGGAATATTAAGATGAAGTAAATTTTCCAGTTCTTCAATTCAACAATTTTTTGTCGACGGAACGGACACAAAACTATTGACATGGAAGTAGTCTTCAAGGAAACTCCAATTTTCGTTAAAAAAATTCATTAATAATATGTAGGAGAAAAAATTAAAGCTATCCAGAGGTGACAAAGTTAATCGACAAGTAGATTTGTGCACATAATGTGTTTTCCCACATAATCTGAGGATGCAACAAATTTTGAGAAGAAAAATTTAAATCGTTTTCTAAAAAAAAATTAAATAGCTCTTTTTAACTAATTCCAGCATCTTTTTCGAATTGTCCTGATGTTGTAATGTATGTCTTAGCTTCCCGATAATACTTTTTGTACGCCTGCGGCTTCATACTTATTCAGCATTTAACAGAACACCCAGCATTACTAAAAATAAAAAAAAAAATTCTACAAATCAAGGCAAATTTTTAATGTTTCATTTTAGAGGCGTTACTTTTAGGTGTCGTAAAGTTTTTTTCAAATTTAATTTTTGAAAGTTACACACAAATATTTAGTATAAAAGTAAATTTTAAGCTAAAAATTTATAGTTTCGTATTAAATAAAGGTAAAAAACCAGTTCATTTCGAATGAGAATAACTTAACGGTGATAAACTTGTAGCCAGAAATAGAAAAACTAGTCCATTCCATACGAATTTTCTCTCATATTTGCAGTACTCCCTTTGATTGTCAAGAGTCGAGGGCAGACAAAATACAGGATATTCTTCCGTTGAAAGTTTTCCTGATACTGGAGAAAAGTGTAAGAGATAGCAGCAGTGAGTGGGATATAAACTTAAATCATTCAAGATGAACGTTATTTAATCAAATGAATTGAACACTTTTCAGGAAGATGTCATTAATAAGCCATAATAGGAGTCGGAATACAAGCAAGACAGAGATTGGAAATGTGGTTATGGTAATTTTATTGAATGTCCTATTCACATATGTACTGCGACTTTACTTGCCATGAAGTTTCTCTCCACCCCGGCAGGATGCAGTGTGTTTGTACGTCAGGAACCAGCAAGACAAAATTGCGGAATTCAGTAAAAGTATATCTGAAGAAAGATTTTATAATATGAAGCTTATTCTGCTAAAAAATAGGCACTGCTAATATTAAACGTTAGAGAGGAAAGAAGTTAACAGTTTAGCTTTCTGTTTTTCTTCCAATGATCCTCACAGGTTTTCTTTAATAATCTGCCAAGTCAGTAAAGACTGCTTTAATTAAGAAGATCGTTTTTGTTCACTTTACTAGAATTTAGAGATTAGAATGTTCATTTTTATTAATTCACTTTGTAAACTTCGAATTATCCTAAAGTACGTCAGACGATATTCTTAGCATTCTATATTGAATATAAGGATGCAAATTCGAAATTTTAGACAGTAAGTTGAAGGGACAATCTATGAACTTACTCGAAGTTCTCGAGAAAAACATGGATGAAATATGTATTAAAAAGACCAAGACAAGAGAATTTTCAACAATATCATTGTAAATAAATGGAAAGTGTAATTAAATTCATTCGTTTTGAAGCACTTTAAAGAGTTATAGAAAAGAGATACTGAAGTAACAGTTATTCATGTAATTACGATTATTCATTCTCCTTGTCACTTAGTCTTTCAAGGTCTTATCTTTACTGAATTTAAAGAATTCAGAAGGCATGTTTAAATGACTAAAAAAAGGGTCCAATTGATTGTTAATCTAAGCAACTGACCTGTATAAAAGCAATAGAATATATACCTGGGAGATAGGTATGGAGTACCGATACTGATTCATCCACTCCTTTACATTGATCCATGTTCGATTTCGGACCCGAACAGAAGTGATGGTATGAAGAAAATAATTTCCTTCTCCTTCCCTCTCTAATTAACTAAGAGAGTACTAGAATAATCGAAGGGAAGAGCGGATAAGCAGATCCGATCCTGCTCCAAGTGCTACTGCTACTACTGCCCTGCAGTTTCTGCTGCTATTGCTGCAACACCTTCGTCTTGCCTGGAATGCAAGCCGACACAGCTGCTTGTTGCTGCTGGTACTACAATGAAGAACAACACTGTCGGTTGTAAAAGGGTGCAAAACTGACTAAGCAAATGGTTAGAAGCTGAAGAGAGGCTTGAAGTTGAGTAATATCCTCGGCATATCGCAGTTACAAGCAGAGCGGAGTAAGGAGGCATTCAGCTATGGAACTCTAAACTTCAAGCTCAAAAATCTATGCTACTCCCACTAACTTTACTGTTTGATTGGCTTATAGATGAAAAATAAGTGGTGAAGAGAGGACGAAATAGTATGAGAAAAAGATGAAGATGAATGAAATATTAAAAAAATAGCATACATTTCATTGTTTACTTAATGATTTATTAGATGCATGAAGTTTTGGAAAGCCTATAGTTATAGTATGCAATAGGGATAGGTAGAGTTAGCCCACATAGACATAGTTTTTGGAGAAAATTTGAATTGAGTAATCTCATAATTCAATTTAATAGTATCTCCTCTGACAAGAGCAATTTCAAATCGTGACCAAATTTGCCAATCAGGTCATAGGTCTGTGAAGTAAATTGAATTAGTGCTTCTAGGCAATCTTTCTGAAAAAAAATTCCATTTTTTTCGATTTTTCATTTTTCATTTTTTCATTCACGATTTTTCATTTTTTGAATCGTTTAGTGTGACCGAAACGAAAGGACTTCCCAAAAGTAGGTGATAGTGAGGTATTCTGAGAAGAGGAAGAGATCAAAGTCTGTCATCAGCAGAAGTATCCTCCAAAATCATCTCCTAAAATTTCATTTCCTTCCCTAATAACAATCTTGTCATAGGCGGTAAGAAGGCTTTAAAATATTCATGACAACACTCAGGATGACTACTCTTGCTTATAAACTATACAGACATCACAGATTATAACGTAACAATTGAATGATAAAGGAAATGCTTTGGAAGATTTGGTATCAATGAAATAAATGTTGGCAAAAATTATAAGTTAATAGTTGATGGCTGATAGCAGATAACAATGCATTGGGAATGAGAATAAACTAAAGGTGGATGGATGAATGGTATGAAAAAATAAGGAATCGAATTTGTTTTTGAGGGTAAACAATAAGCAAGATATCTGAGGCGTAGCCACTTCTCTATCAGATAATAATTTGTATAATCTTGTGGCTAGAAAATGACAACTTCAGGCTACAGAAACCAAAATGGAAAGGGCGGTTATTAGATAATGAAACTGCTAGCAGGAATAAATATTGCGCTAATGATGGTAAAAAGTTGTAGCAATACAAACATTCAGATGCTGAACAATTTAAGTAAGCCGAAGATTCTTGTAAGGTTAATGAATTTTTTAAGTTGAAAGGACTTTGGAAAGTTGCAGTAGCTTGAAAAAATGCTATATAAAGTTTTGCTTATTATGCTGAAAAAAAAGACTGAAATTTAGAAGAACTAAAAGTGAAACTTTTTGCAAACAATTGAGCAATTATTCAAAGCTGTAGGGGAAAACTTTAAAAAAGCAGCTTTTGCATTTAATGAAACTTTTCATCATGAACTTTTTTCACTAAAAATTGAGGATAGTTATGAGTAATGAATGGTAGGACGAATTCATTACGGATGATCTATGCTGGTCTGGTTGAATGATATGAAAGGTATCCAATAGCAGAATCATCCATTCATTCAAAACAAAACGATCTGCTTTTCTGTGTTTCGAGAAATAAAATATCACTTCACATTCATTTGTTTGTCTTTCTCCATACTTTTATTGGCTTTTTACACTTCTATACTTTTTATTTTTTCATACTTTTAAATTTTTTCGTATAAACTTCATACTTTTATTAATTATGGAGGTTATAATTATGAAGTACCTGAGGAAGAAATGGTATTCGTTGTTGCTTAAAATGTTTATAGAATATTTTGATATTAGCATAGTGATTGATGTCTACTATACCGATATTGACTAGGAAGCAATTCACAGAAGGGAACTTAGAAATGAACCACCGAATGCGCAATAATATATATCTTAAGCTGCACACATTTATGCAATTTCTCATCTAATATAAAGCATAAGTTCTACTAATCACACTTACCACTATAAAATTTCCCTCTATATCAGTTTTAAACCATAAAATACCTACGAATAATGGGAATATCCAGAATATTATTGATTGAATTTACTCAATTATTTGAGAAAAACCTATATAAGAATAGAAACTGAGGTACTGTATCATTTGACTGAATCGAGGAGAACATTTCGTCATAGTATAGAAATAAAAATATAATTTAAATTAAATTCTTTTATTTGGTTTAGATAAGTGTATGTACGTGTGTGTATCTTTTAAATTTTAAATTTAATTCACATTATAACTGTGATGCTGTCTATTAACGCTCGGTTCTGCCTTCTCAAACGTTGTTTACAACGGGATGCTGATATTGTCAACAAAGTTTGTCAAGGTTTTATTTGTAGACAAAAGCATCTTCCTGGCCTTTCGTTAATCATTTGATTGCTTGTTACTGATTGTTAGCAATGTATTGTAGATTACTATTTCAGAAATTGATTCGCATAATCAATTATGCCTTTCGAGAGATTGTCTGACGCGGCTTATTACATATTCTTGAATTAAAGATTGCCAAAGAATGCCAAAGAATGAAATCTCTGTGAGTTTAAGCATCACTATAAAATTGTAGAAAATGGGTATTAGATATTACAGCATTCAACCATAACTGTCAGTAAATGATTCAGACTGACGAAGTCTCAATTTGGGTGACATCTCATAACCTAATTGTTTGTCAAATATTACGATATATTTTTTAGCATATATTCTTAGTTTTAAATTTAAATAACTCCACTCCTTCCCCCCTCCTCCTTGTTTCTGATCTAAGAAAAACAGGAAGTGCAAAGAAACCTGAAATATTTTCATAAAGCTTCCTGAGATTCGATTGTTTGGAACTGAGTCGGTGTAATTGCTTTGATATTGAAATCAACTTCAAAATATGTTAGTAATTTAAAGGAATTTTTCGGTTTGAAGTGATCTGGTATAAATGTTAATGCTGTAATTGAATTAAATCTCATCGTAAGCAATAGTTTTGATGAATAGAAAAAGAATAGTATGTCCATGTGTTCGTTTTTGAACGCTTTCAATCGGTGAAGTTAGATTTAGGTCATGTTTCTTCCTACTACCATTATCGCCCATTCCCGCTCCCTAACATGCACCACTGATCAGGTGAAAGGTTACTGGGTAAGTTTCATTCAATCCACTTTTAGAAATTACTTTCGATTCTCTATCGCTCTTCTCATTTTTAGACTATTTCCTTTTACTTTCATTATCGTAATCTGGAACTGGCAGTACTTTTCTGATCATTTTTTCCTTTGTTTTGATGTAAACATTTCCTTTCTAACTGAAATTCTCAATTTAAACTTTTAAGCAGAAAATTTTTATTTCCAAATATATTTACTTAATTTCGAAGTATTTAATATAGATCGTTTAGTTTAAGCTCTTCTCATCAGTATATTTTTTACCTTCTTTTCATGTTCAGTTAGCAGAATGCCTGTTAAGATATCTAGTTTTAATTCATCTAATATTAGTGCGTGATAAACGGACAGTTGTAATAATCGAAAATTTTCAAATCAGTTTGCCGATATCTTTGCTTAGAATTTCTTTTTATTATAATAAATACATATTCATGTTTCGATTTTGCACAGTTAATTCCTATTAAACATTCGTACCAAGTGTCCTTCATCCTACCGCTCCGTCGGAAGTTGACCTACCTGAATCATGCCATGTGTCACTATACTTTCAAATAGTTGCCATTTTTTAAATATAGTTACCAGTAGTTGCCATTTGCTGGTTCCGCTCGCAATATTCGTAGTCTCACTACTATTTTAAATTGTAGAGATTCGCTGCTGTGTAATCTTGATTTCAGGGTTAATGAAATTGATGACTTACACAATTCGTACTAGTTTCATGTTGTTCATCTGTCGAGCTACTATCTAATAAAAGTACCATAGATGCTATTCAGAACAATCTTTACTCAATGATAAGAATGTTATGACTTCATATGCTATATTGCTGATCAGTACTGTGACTGCTTCAATTTCACTGTCCGATGATATTCTAGTCTTCGTTAGTCATGGATAGCTTATAGCAACACAGTTATCCATGATTGTTTTATTTAAGATTTGAAATTAAATTAGAATAAATTATAGTAATAGTGGTGTTAGATCTGGAAATGTGGCAAAAGAAGCAGATGATGACATCGATGGCTTTTCACAGGTAGATGACTTTGAAGAAGAGTATTGTTTCTATGTTACTTGTATTTCCTTATTTCTATCCTAATATGGCTCAAGCATGGTAATATCATTTTTCTTTATTATTGGCACCATTTTCGGAATCGCTAGTCCATAGAGTTCTCGTTAGTCAAGAAAATACAGTCTTTTGTCTCTGAGTGAAATTTTTGTTGACTAGAACCTGATCAGTGATATTAACACGCTAAAAGGATTACCGTTAGAGTCACGAGCATAGTTTTCAAAATACTTACAGATGAAAAGCCATCGTTGGAAGTTTTTCTCAAGGATTATTCTTGCTATTTAAATTTACAGCATGATTTCGGTTGTATGTGATTATATGTGAAAATTTAGAGTTAAGTGTATGTATATATATATATGCATATTTATATATGTGCATGTATCTATATGTGTCTGTGTGTGTTTGTGTGTGTGTCTGTGTCTGTGTCTGTGTCTGTGTCTGTGAGTGTCTGTGATTTAATGAGGACGGATGACAAAGTTGGTAAAAGGGAAAATATTGGATGGTGACCTCGACCTGCTGCCACTGCTCATCGAACGCGGGGAAGAGGCGAGGGGGACTATCCGTCAACGGTAATGAGAATGTTGCTGAATACCCTCCAGTTTGGGACGAACATGAATGAGAGGCAGCAAGTAAGGCATCTACCGAAATACGGGATGAAGAGGGAAAGGGGAAGGGCTGATCGGGCAGGGATGGGCTGCCTCCGCTTGGAACATCGAAACGGACGGGTGAACAAGGAGAGAGTGGTAGTTGTAGGAGTAGTTGACCTTGTACGCCTCCATAACCCACCCAACTCAACAGATACAATATGGCGCAGCAGTAACGCTTCCCGAAACACTTCTACTGGCTTGCATTTTCATTCCAAGCAATTGCTGCAATTCTTAGCCTTTACTTAGCGAATAATTTCAATTATCCCACATACAAATTTCCTCTATAAGACCATATAACTAAATCATACGATGCTCAGTAATTTCTTTTTACTTTGCTGGATTGAAAGATTAAGAAAAAAAATAAAAAATAATAAAAAATAAAAAATAAAGCTAATTACTTGAACTTAATGTTGGTAGAGGGAAGCAGTGAAGAGCGTGAACGGTCTTTATTGTCTTATTAAATCGTATTTCAAAAAATATAGATTTTGTTTAGGACTACTTCTACTCTAATTGTGACAGTGCTTTTTTCTATTACTATTTACATGGCTTTTAGATTTACAGATGCAATGAAAAAAGGAATAAACAAAAATGATACTTTCCGGGACACCTGTAGCAACAGTTCGGTGTACACCCCCAATTTCAGTCAGTTCAAGCACTAATGATGCTTCAGCGAGTTCGGCAATGTTTAGCGAGCTCCTGTTATCTTCCAATATCCACATACCAGATCGACCGGTAGTTACGATTCGAAGTCTTTCAGCAGCAACAAGAACTCCAGCAGTTGCTATTCCAGGAACAGAAGAATCAGATTTCACTTCGACAAGAATTTTGAATGGCAATGTGCCATCGGCTTTTCGGCCGATTATCCCAACAACTTCGTCGGATTCGTTTGTCGTTACAACCCTCAATTCCCTCATTTCTCCATCAGATCATGAAAGTGCTAACAGTGAACGAAATCACCAACACCATCATTATCATCAACAACATCACCATCTCCACCATCAGCACCATCAAAAACAGCAACAGAATGATAGGACAGTGAATGGAGACTATGGTCAGTTCTGTTTTTGTCTTTTTAATCAAGTGGTTGACATGACATAATCATTACTACTGCCTTCAATTTCTTTGCCTATAACGCATATAAATGAAAGTGAAGAATGCGATGAAGAAAGTTATTCTGTCTTATTTGCAATACTCTAATCAACCTGCTTAACAAAAGGTTTTCGATTGCTGACAACTTTTATTATTTGCAAGCAAGTATATCTGATGAACTTTGATGCTTATTTTGTAAGTTAAGTTCAGACTATGTAAAGGTTACATTTTTACCTATCCGTACTCACTCGCGAGAATCTCTTAAGTTTTTTCTCCCAGAAATTTTCAACTCATTTCCATTTCCAGTTCTGCGATTGTCACTTTCATAGTTTCTAGAACTCTCATTATTTAAGTTCAGATTCAGGAATGACAAATTCTCAGCCGAAATTACTGTTTTATTTTCGACAATCTTTCCCTTGGTCAACCTATTTAATCGATTTCCTTTTGCTGCTTGACAATGATAAAATGTTTTGCTTTCAAAACGTACAATTCATGTTTTTATTTAATTTTTGATATTTTTCTTATTTCCTCGGAATCAGTGAAAACGTTTCTCATGTTCTATAATCTGTGATGTGATGGGCGATTCTAAAGGACTAGTTGCTAGAGAGTCATTTGTTGTTTATTTGGAACGTATCCTGGAAAAAGGGAATATCGGAAAGAGGAAGAGGAAGCGGAGAAGGATGAATTATAATATGTTGATGAATGAATCACAGCAATGCTTTTTCTAACTTATTAATTGTAGCTCGGAAGAAGAAAATAAGCAATCCGAGTCAAAGTAAGCAGATGACTAATGAGTAGGTGAAGGAAGGCTTGAAATGGTCGGAAGAGAGGGATGACTACATAAGGACTGTCACATGTGGTTAGCCAGTAGTGACTTGGAGAGATTTTGTGGACACATGTGATTCCAAGGACGGTCGCTTTTAAAGTTGTTTTTTTACATAATGTTTCTTTGGATGTATGTGTGTCGTGTGCGTCTGCGTCGATGTGTCACACCTATCTCTGTTGTATATACTGCACGAGTAAATTGAAGAGAAGAAATGAAATGTTGCTGATAAAGTTCAAAATATAGGAGCAGGGAAGGGGATCGCACCTTTTTTCCCTGCGAGAGAGAGGGAAAGGAGAAGTTTCACCTTATCAGCAAAATAATTTTGTACAGTGTTTGGCATTATTAGCTAGCAGCTACTTTACAATGATAATAAAGTGATAATAGTAGTGAAATAACCATCATATGAGGATGGTGATAAGGATGGTTACAGTGTTTTAGTGATTTCTTATTTTCCTGCATTTCTCTTACTCTTTATCTGTTTTCTCTTTGATGACTTGATTTTGAAGGTCAGTTAGGAAGCTGGTAGCAATGATAATAATAGATGGTGAAGGGTTATCAAGGGGTTCCTTATACAAAGAAAGGGAGAGAGAGGAGGGACAAAGAAAGAAAGGGAAAGGGAGGAATATTTGGAACGGTAGGAAATGAGACCAATTATGTGCGGCAACCAGGGCAATGGTGTTGAGTTACTCCTTGATTGGTGGTAAAGGTCACTTCCCTCTTCTCTCTTAATCTCCTTTTAAACTGACACAAATTGAGAAGGAATCCTGGAAACGTTGCATTTGAACGATAATCAATGAAATTAGTGCATTTGAAATGCACACAAAAGACGTTTGTGACATTTCTAGACGGGAAAATCAAAGGATATTGGAAGATCCATGGCCCATGGTAACTTGGAATCCGGAAAAGCTATCATAGCATGAATTCTGGCGGGAGGAAAAAACTTAAAATATGCTTGACATTCTGATGGCACTCTGAAGGAAATTAACAAATTATATGATTTCCGAAACGAAACATGCATATTGGTGGGTTTTGTCGCAATGTATGCTTTTAAAGTGAAATTAATACTTTGGCAGGCCAGACACCAGGCGTCCAAAGGGGTTCACAGCAAATCGAAAAGGATCACTGAGAAGTCATTATTCAGATGGATCGAAATTGGTTATCTCTGTTTTAAGTTGAAATTGGCGATGCATCTAAGATTAAATGTCTGTGTACTGGGGAGTGTAGAATCCTTCCGAATTGCGCTTCATTGATCGGTATTGAATGAATGTGTTGATATGTTATTATTAAATAATGAGTGAATGTTGACCTTCGACTTCCGCTAGCAAACTGAGGTCATTTCATATATAAATCTTCTCATCCCCAGTGAACGGTTTTTATTCGCCAACTTGTGTAGAACGAAGTATTTGTGGGAATCGCAAATTATAGACTCCATATTTGTTCACTTTTTGGAATGTCTATTGAACTTCACGTTTTAGAATGTCAAACAACAGTAATGGAAATGGACAGCGGACTTTTATTAGTGGACTTTAATTTTGTCGAATTAGATTTGCTGTAAGGATTCAATTGGAAGAAATTAGTGTGGGAGTAAAAAGGATAGTAAATATCATTGAATATCATAGTTGTGTTCTTATATTTTATTTCTAGCTGCTACAACGAGTAACAATTACCTTTGTCAAGTCTGCGGTGATAGAGCGTCCGGTTTCCACTACGGCGTTTTTGCTTGCGAGGGTTGCAAGGTATTTGCTTCTTCTTTAACATCTTTATTTTGCTTAGAAATTGGTAAATTTTTGTCCAGATAGATTACATCTGATTTGTTTTAGAAAACTGTTAGAGTAATTTGCTTCGAAAAAGCGAACTGTAATATCTTGTGATTGCTTCCCGTAGACTTAATCATTTGTTTGTTTACTCTATTGGTTTTATCACTTCAGTTTTCATTCTTTCAAGAAATATTATTTTTCTGCGCAGAATTTGTTTGCAGGGTTTTTTTCGCCGTTCCATTCAGCAGAAAATCCAATATCGTCCATGTACAAGGAGCCAACAATGCGTTGTTGCCCGGAACAATCGTAATCGATGTCAACACTGCAGACTGCAAAAATGTATCAAAGTGGGTATGTCAAGGGAAGGTACGCAAGTTGGATATTTTTTTCAAGTTTTTAATCTTTCCCTGAGATAGTATCATTGGAAAGGGGTAATTTGTTGTCGCCTATCGAAGCTTCCCATTAAATTGCTCACAAATTTTAAACGGATTTGGTTTTTTTCCGCCAGATTTATGGATCTGGATTGAAAAAGGCCTCAAATTAATTTGTGCCTTAACTTTTACGTAATTTGGGAATGATGGAATGGAAACGTGCTTTGACCTTGACCTTGATTGAAACGCGTTTAAATGGAGTTTATAGTTTGACCTTGATTTGGATTAAGAGACAGTCCAAAGTTGTATTGTGGTTTGACCTTGGTTGGAAGAGATAGGTTACCACTATTTGGGTCATTATTTTATGCGAACATTCAAAATGTGTTTACTGGGGAGACGAGGTTGAAAAGACGAAAGGGATGACTGTCCTGCATTGAATTGTTTGCCGGTGACCTTGCAGATTTCAATTGCTTCAGTTCCTTTCTCTCATGCCCGAATTTTCACTTTCATCCTGCTCTATTTAATTTAAAAGGCAACTTGTGAAGCTAAATGCTTGAATTGTTGTTGAAGGACCATTGCAAATACTTTTTTGCGCTAACAGCTCGACATCGACATTAAATTTTGTTTTTGATTAAGCTCCTCCTTTTGACAGCTGATTTCCCTACTGTGGGATTCCAGTTAATTCTTTAAGGATTCAGTTAATTATTTTTTGAAACCATTTTTTGAAACCATTAAGAGGAATGACAGTAACATTTAGCAGGTTTAGTGAACCGTCTCAGCAGATTGAAAATAGAATGAAGTTTAAAAATACGACGCCATATCATGAGCATAGATTCCACTTACATGAAGAAAACTAATCAAATGATCAGGAGCTGCGCATCATTTAAAATTGAATGCTAATGGAATTGGTCTGTAGACTCAGAGCTCAATTTTCTTTCAGGTTTTCATTCGTTACTTCGTTACTAGATATTGTCCATTCAATATATTCTCGTATAGAAACATTCTTTCTTTACCCGCATAAGTTTTTTCTATTTTTTCAGCCGTTCGATTTGGTCGTGTACCAAAACATGAAAAAGTCCGATTGGCTGAGGAATTGGCTCGTGTTACAGCACGAACCCTAACTGATGCAGTTCAAAGTGCACTTATTGATAGCGATTCGGTACTGGAATCTTGTTTTACCGGTTTCTTACGCCTAATAGACAATGTGAAGAAGCTTCTTGATAAATCTCCTGCGCAAACCGTCTGTCCTGTAGGGAGGTATTTTTTAGTCTTATGCCATTGTAACAAACGATGACTTATAGTTGACTATTTTGATCATATTGTGTGAAATATTCGAGTGAAATTATGGACTCTTTTAATTTTGGTGACCTAATTAGAATGTTAATATTGCTAATTAAATACTAACTTAAGTTACTGTTGTTTTTTCTTATTTTTTGATCTTAGAAAGTGCTGCCGGTGATTTGGGTATCGAAAAATATATAAATAGATTTGTTGCAGGGTAAACGCTCATCATGCGATAAAAGCAGCTTACAATTTCTCTCAGTCAATTCCGGGATTCAGTATATTGCATCATCAAGATCGAGTTCAACTCTTAAAGGTAAATAATTTTTTAAAGGAAACAGTATTTCTGGTTTCGAGTCCTATAAAAAAGTTCGGGGACATGTTTAAGAGTGACCAGACAGGCTTTTATTGTAAGGTAATGTGATTGAAGGGAGACTTGATAAGTTGAAAGAATTTCTTAGAGGAGTGATGAAAACCAACTCATCTTTTAGGGTACATTGTTTCAAACGGTCATGCTAGCAACACTCTCATCGCTTAACTCCGACAAAGCTCTATTAACGTTTCAATCGCCAATCGAACAGCAAGTCCACCAATATTTCTGCTCACCGTTAAATATTTTTTTACAAAAATTTAAAACGTTAAAGTTAACTAATCAACAAGTAGCACTGATCGGTGCTGCAGGCATGTGTATTTCCGATAGACCGCTCACGCATCATCCTGAATTGGCTGCACTTATCTACAATCGTCTAAGTGATCTGTTCCAAGAAACATTTTCGGAAGAATGTCGTGCTGCGGCTCCACAGCTTTTGCATACGGTCTTGTGCGAGTTGAGAATGCAAAATGCAGTGCATCAGCAAAGTCTTGAAGCAATAACTATTTGGCCTGCTACATATTCCTCATCATCATCTGTTGCGTCTTCCGATGATAGTACTATCTCAAATAGCGTAAGAACAGGTATGAATGATAGTACATCGCGAAATATTGAAACCGAATTATTACTATTAGGAAGTTGTGGGTTAGTACGAGGACAGCAACCAGAACAGCCACTGCAGGAATTAATTTCACCTCTTTCGGTTGAAAATCAACCTCACGATGATATACAAAAAGGACAAGCTAAACCAGGTTGCAGTCAACGTAGATCCGAGAATAATCCAGAAGGCCTACAATTACAACCAGTTACTCTATCTCGAGTTCAACCATCCATTGTTGAAACTCATCGATCTGTTGCTTCGTTGCTCAACCAACCACCTATTTTACCAGTCGCGGTTGCTGCAGTACGAAGTACTTTTGCTCATAACTGTCAACCGGCAGTGTTATATCGAGAGGCAACACCGGTGTTGCGAAGTACCTCTTTATACGACATGAAAACATCAAATGAGGCAGTGGAATCAACAGATGAAGAGCCGCTAGATCTAAGTATGAAACGCTGATATTAATTATAATTCCGTCAAAAATTTGTTTGCCGATCGACACCGTCATGTGTACTATTACGTTTCATCGGATCATTCCATTTGTGAGGACCGCAGATACATCGAATTTCATGTCGAAATTGTTCTGAAAGTGCTAATATGTTTTAAAACAGGGAATTTCGATATGTTTAAGTAACTGAACCATCAATTTCTTAGATTTTATATCGAAAATATCATACATCTTTCGGCTGTTTTCATTCGATCAGGAAAATTCTTTATCATTTGTACCGTTCATTTGCTAGTTTCTCACACAGCTGAGCTACTTCAAATGTTTCGGATTTTCCGTAGTTGCCATTCTGCTAAATACTTAGGGAAGTGTTTTTGACGCTTCTCATATGTGAATTTTCTTTTTCATTTATCATGTCGCTAAACAAATCATTAAGCGTGGATCGCAGAATACATTATGGTCACCTGTACAGCTAATTTATTTGCTTGGCATTCCATGAATTCATTCTGCTTACATAAATGATACTATCGCTTTTCTTTTCCCTAGATTTTTAGATGCTCTGAAAGAATTTTAAATGATCTGGAAGAAACTTCCAGATCACTGTACTACCGAAGTTACTGAACTTGAAACCTATCCTTTGAGATTGTCGAACTTTAGCTTTGCGCAGAAATTTTTCATTTTTTGCATTGTTTCATATTTTTGTTTGAAACTCCTTTGAAATATTATGACTAAATTCATCTCTGTAATTACTCACGGGTCACCTCTTCCCATCATGAAGAAAGTTTAGATTCACTTTTTATTTTCTCAGTTCATTAAAATTCCATCTGACTTTACAGGTATGTAAGTCAATAGCAGTGCAGAGTTTTCCACTGTTTTACTTGCTTCTTTGGATTCCTTAACATATTGTTTCATTTTTGATACATTCTTAATTATGCGTAAAGCACGGGTAATTTGGATAAGTTTAATTTATCTGAATATTAATAATACTACGAAATGTATTGTCTCATGTCATTGTCCACTACAATCTTTTCCATCGAGAATTCAGATAAAATCTTCAAAATTTTTATACTGTTCGAAACAGTCTGTCTACAGAATTAATTCAGTGTGTACCTCAATATGTCCTGCACAGCTCTTTTATTTGTGTATCTCAGAATTTTCTCAAATCATTGTTATAAATCAAAGCTGTGAGCTTCTGCGTACATATTTCACTGCGTATTTGACGAGTGTTATTCGTGATATAGAGTTCTTGAGGAAGTTAAATTCAAAAGTCCCTGCATTTCAAAGTGTGATAGCTTGCAGCAGTTGCCATCAGCTGAATGACAAAGCATCTACGTAATTCTGAAATTTCACCAAATCTTGTAAATAAGTATTTTTCAAATAAAATACCAAGTGTTAATTTGTGGGAATAATTATCCCTTGTTTAACTTTTTCAGGCAACACTTTTGTTGGAATAAAGATTGTAGCAGTTAGGATTTAGAATTCGAGCCGAAAGAATCACCGCTCATGAAATGATAAAGTATTGAGCAACACAACGAATAACTCATAAACCTCGGGATAAATTTCCGCAGGAAGAAGACAATATCATACTTACACAGTGATGCAAATGGATTGAAAACACTAGGATATCAGGGAAATCAAACTTATCTTGAAGGGAAAGAAGAAAAATAATGAACTGAAAGCAGCTGCTGACAAATTTCAGCAACAATTTACAATATATTTTTTTCTCGCAATAGGTGACAATGATTTGAAACAGAGGAGGTAGACTTCACTTCTTCATCCCTTCCACTTCTTCATCTTACTTTTCCCAGGAAATTCTACTAATCAGTTACAGAATGTTATGTTGAAACCTACGAAGCAAGATTATAAAGATTACAGGTGAAAAGCACAGCGCAAATAAGATTACAACCATCCCCAAAGCATTCTAGTTGCTTTTCTCTTGAAAATTTGGATCAGTCAAGTTATTCCTCCACTTAAATTAAAAATTTGAAGTTGTAATAGAATTAAAAACATTACTAATAGTAGTGAATGAATCAGACAGAATGATTTCCTAAAATTTACATCAGGAACCTGATTTTTGAAGCTAATGCACTCATACGTATTGCTATCCTAACGTTCGTAGAAGTTTTGTACATATACAACTCATGCCAGCCCAGAGAAACGATGGAAATTGTTGTGTTAGAAAAATTTTTCTTAATAATTTTTGGTCTGCAAAAGGTAATTGACCAAAGTAGATTATTAATTCGACAATAGAATGATATAGAATGATGACCACTAACTCAATAGCAAAAGGGAAATTTCCAAAAGCAAGGAACTTGAGATCTTGCATATAATTAACCCCTTTAGTAGATGTCATATGACTATTTTAAAGGCCAGCTTTTTCAGAGCTGCGTCGGTTTTGCCAGAAAAATGAAATGCCAGATAATTTTTAGACGTAACTCCGCAATTGCACAATGGAAAATGTAACAGATTACTAATTTGAGACCTTCCGGAAAAATCAAGTGTGCACAGTTCTACGAAAGATAACATATTTTCTATTCATAAAATAATGAAGTGGATTTTTTCACTATCGCAAGGGAAGTGGTCTTCTTTTGATCATGCACTAAATTTGACCTTAGATTTAACAGCTAAACAACTCTATAACTGAGCACAGTTCCAAAGGATACTTCACTCCAGTCAAGTACAATGATAATAATGGACAGTGGTATACCTGCTGATTATCTGGCGTTTTCCCATTAGCAATACATTTTTGGATAAGACAATCGCTATATGTATGCATAAAGCAGTGATTAATGATAAAGGGAAAATCGTTTGTTCATTTCAACAGACCAAACTCTTTTTGGATGTTTGCGCCTCTCTGGAAAAGCGCATTTTTTATTATAATATGTGTATGATATTGATATGGTTGTTCACTTTTAGGAATCGACAAGAACAAAAATCCTTTGCCTTTAATTTTTGTTGTCATTCTTCATCGCTTGTCATTTTACTGTAACAAACTTGAGAAAATACGATAGTCTTACTGTAACAAACTTAAGAAAATACGATAGTCTTACAAACAGCTAAACTTGACCAGAAAGTTTTTATGATATCATTGACAACTGTTAGTGGTAGGTAAATTAGTACTAGAAGATAGGAAATAGTTAAATTTGCCAAGAAGAAGTTCATCGATGTCCACTAAAATACTTATGCATAATTTATTAATTTATTCGTTTATTCGAAGCATTAATTCATTCACAAAGTTGTTTATAAATTAAAAATTTGTTTGATTCGAAACTGTTTCTTTAAAATTTCATTGGCAAACTTTGGAAAGTTTTATTTTTCACCACTTTCACATATTTGTGCTCGTAGAAGCAAAAGAGAAAGATATTCGAAATAGTCTGGTGTGAGACCGGTCTAGAATTCCCTTTTTATCTATTGGATGTCCTTTGTTCAACAAGTTCGATATACTTTCAACGAAAAACGAACAGGTAACACTCAAAGGTATACATAGATAATAGACTACACTAATAGGATGACAAGATATAGCTATGTTATCACTTTTTGCCTTAAAATATTTGCATTGTAGAGTGCCATTTCACTATTTTCCCTAAATTCCCACTCCAATTCTTTCAAGTAGTAGTAGTTTTCAAGTTTTTCTATTTTAGATATCTGGACTTCTCAAAAAGTTTTCAACAATCGTATTTACGAATTTCGATCCCAAAAAAAAATAATAATAATACATTGTCAGTATCAGTTAATTTATTCATCTGTCTGTCAATTAATCAACCAATTGATATATATATATATATCGAAAATATGTTTGATTACATTTTGCAGTCAAAGATTTTTCAATGAAAATTATGGGATGTTATTAGAGTGAAAATGAGAAATGGAAAATTGTCAGTTTTGTAAGTTACATAAATCACACATATCTTTCTTTATCACAGACAAAAGCTTCTCTCATCATTAACTCTTCGAAATTCTATAGGTAAACTATTTTCAAAAAGAGATTTTTTGATAACTCCATTAAATTTATTACTACCATCAGTGAGATATTGGTAATCAAAAATCAAATCGTTGTGATTTTGATTTCTTCAAATCAGAATATTTTTTCTGATAATGTAACTTTCTAGAAAACTTAGACTACTAATTCACTAGTAAAATCTGAAAACTTCTTCAGTTATAATAATCATTCTTGTAACAAAATCGAATGTTTTACCAACTTTTTTTGACGAACAACGATGTAAACGACCAATAAATCCCCAGAAACGTCAATAGTCATAAGTGATAGAAATGGAAATATTTCGAATCTATTTTATATTTCGAATCCAAATATTTCGAATCTATTTTGTGTAAAAAAATTCGCAATAATATCCTCATATTCTTCATTCGTTAGGCTATCGTAATCCAACTTACAGTCATCAGAATAACTGCCAAGTTGGATTACAATTTAAAGTTTCGCTTTTAGTTACTTCTATTCAATTTTACAAAGATCATTTAATAAAACAGTCACGGAAATGTCGCAGAAGTACTGCATAAGTATTTTGTAGCTCTTCTGAAGTATAAAACGCTTGAAAATACGATTAGGAGTGATAAATACGATTAGGAGTGATCGGTCAGATATTTATCGTCTCGGAAGGTTTTAAGAATTTGGAAGAAGACAAATAGGGGTTTGCTATGAAAAGCTGTGATTCCTTTAATGCCATTTTCAGCTTTAATAAAAGACTAATTAAAAATATTTCGAAAGATAACTTACAATATTGTGCTAATCATTTTTTACTCCAATGGAGCAAATCGACATTAATAAACTGTCAAGTTATTTCATTTATACTTTCTTATCTGCGAAAAAAAAGAGCAGAATTGCTATTTGCTTACTTTACTCGCAAATGTGCCTATGTTATTTATGTTAAATAACTGCAGTTGCTCTTTTTTTAATTCTTTTTAGGGAAAACTTATGACTTATTTCCAGCGTTTCACTTCACCCTTTAGTTTATAAGATTTCCTGTGAATAGGACCGAAGGAATGGATTGAATAAATGTGTTTGGCGCTGATATCCAAAATACAGAGGCATTAATCGAGGCAGCAAATATGATTATTCCTATATTTGTAATGAGAACAGAGAGGACTCATGGCTTATGGTATGGAAACTTGTCACGTGCAATCCATCTCTGGACCTGTGTCATTCATATTCCGTAATTTCATCAAAAAAGGTAATAATACAAATGTGTTAATTGAGTCAGATATTACATGTAACTGTGATAACAGAGGTGCAAATTGATGACTGGAGGGGTTTTTCGTATGTTTAGGCTTAGACTTAGAAATAAAATATTCTAGGATTCACATATTACTACAAAGCATAGCCTATTTCAGATTATATGGAACAGCGTTAGCCCAAATGTTCTCCCCCCATTAATATAAACCATTCCAGTAAAAGCACCGTTTAGTTTACCATACCCAGTCTTTCACAGATGGAATTGTTCCATTCGAAATGCTAGTTAAGTAATAAAATTATGTCATAGGTGATGTTATGTTATACCGAAGCAGCAACGAAAGAGAACCATTAGAGAAATAGTCTTTCCGGAAACATAGACTCGTATTCATTATTTCAATATTTATCTAAAAGGAATAGTATGTCGAAAAGTTTGCTACAAACTAAAAAATATAAAGTTTGCTTCAAACGAAACTTCTCTCAACTAAGCTTATACTAAATCTTACTTTTATATCAGTAATCACTGCTTTCTCGCACAGTATTTTATTCCTAATTTCTTATTTTTTATAACAGGTTATCAGTTAATTGGAACTCTATGTAAAATCAATAACTTTCCCATTTGTAAAATGCTTTTATAAAGAGTAATGTTGCTCTTTGTTTGCTTCTTTTGCCTCCTTTAATTTACTTACATTTTTTCATCCTAATAAGCTTAATGTAAAAACAACTTTGAGCGTAGTCATATTTTGTAAAAAGCGGAGAATTTCTAGTGGAGGAAGAAATAAGATGAAATGAAGAGGTAGCATGAAATAGCAATGATCAAATATAATTAGGAAAAGGGATAATGAATAGTTTGAAAAGATGCATTAATCATTCAAAAACTTAATTACCCCAGAAGCTCACTCCTTTAGAGTGCATGGTAAGTGCTTTATTTGTTATGCAATAAAAAAAGTTAGCAGTAAGTTCAATACAAGGAAACGTGGGATTTATATCTATACTGCATGAAGCAGATCTGTTAGGAATATAAAGAGTAGGACAAACCAAGTTGGGGAAGAATAAGAATTATATCTACGTCATTGTTTAATATCATTTATTAGTGACGGTCTTCTGAGCCAGAACTTCAATATTAAAAAACAGCACTGCCAGTATAAACATATCCTTGTTCAGAAATCATAGCAGAAAATAGGAAAAGAATTTTTTTAAGCGATTATAAAATAATATGCAACTTGATAACATGTATACAAAACTTGCGCAGAATTTGACAAATTATTAAATGAAAGCGGAAATGGGGCAGAAGGCTATTTTCAAAAACATCAAATAAGCCTAAGAGGGCAATTTGTGTTTGTTGGGGGACAAAAGAATAATTTAAACAATAACAATGTGCCAGAAATGCTTCGAGGTGAGATTCGATTTTGTCCTCATTTTTATGATATTATCAGTTACATAAATATTAGCTCCATCAATTCTTCTGATAAAACTAACGGATTCATCTTACAAACGCTCTTTTAATTGATTTTTCATTGCTATAATGGAGTGATAGAATTATACTTCAAACAAAATGGGAAAACATGGAACTACTTTCGATAAAGCAAATTTTCCAGCTAGTTTTGAACTGTTTCAATAATGCTTAATTAAGATTAATAATTGATAGCTTGGATATTTCGGCGTAGTGTTAGGACGGAGAAGTAAGCTTAAGGAAATCACTGACTTAGTCTATATTTTGGCTAGCAAAGACAGCAGAGGAACAGGAAGACCAAAAATGATTCCAAGGAAAGAAGGAAAAGATGAGCTAATGGTTAGAAATGGTACACGCTGACCCATATCTATATGCTTAACTTTTAAAAATTCCTAAAACAGAAATTCACATCAAGATTTTTTAATAAATAGAAGGGAGAAATGAGTAATGTTTTATGAAATAAGAGAGGAGCAAATGAAAAACTGATGAAATGAAACAAATATGACTTTAAAAAACTGAATTTGAAAAGTTTGAAGTCAAAGATGGAAGGCGTACTGAAAATTCAGGAACCATTGGAGTGACGGAAAAGTAGTCGCAATCCTTGTTATGTTTAAATTAATTATTGTGGGGACAAATTCGGAAATAAATGTGACTGCATTATATATCATATCAGTGGTTTATGTATCGTCCTTGCTATTTACCTATTCATTGATCTTTATTCAGTATTTTTGACTGAGGAAATGAAATTAGACACAACGCAATTCCTAATTTTCCTCAGCTCAAATCAGCTATACTGGAGTGACCTGCGCACAATATCAGTAACGTATTTGGCCTGGAAGTTATTAACGTACATACGGTGCAATTATTCTGTGAAGGAGATGAAAGCCTCGAAGTATAGTGACCTACCATAAAGTTCATAAAGTTTACAATGCAACAATCATCGAAGCTGATTCTTTAAAACTACAACAGAATCACATTTGAGATCGACTGCCCTACTGAGAAAGATATCCTCTCATTCCGACAATAACAACGAATCATTTTCCGATCGGTTTGCGATGTGCGACGAGAAATGAATTATGTACGACCTGAACGAAATGAGCTATGAAATTTTTTGCCTCATTAAACTGGCTTTCGCTCAATTGACTCTCTTAAAGCTCTCAATAATTCTTTGCAGGTTCTCAGAAGTTCCGCGAAGACATGAAACTCTTCTTACAGTAATAAACAAATTTATTTCTATTAACAAAGATACTAGTATATCGCCGTCCTACGTCACTGCCGAAACGTAGCAGCGATAAATGGAATATTAAGTATGCGGAATTTCTGCACTACAGTTCCATTGTTGGACGTTTTTGATGTCTTTCTCGCGAAGATAATGCAAAGATATTACGGTGGTTATGATGATTAAATAAGTTTCTATTCATAATGTTTCTTATCTTACCCATGAAGGAGCGCAAATATCACTTATTTCTTAATGCTATAATTTGTGACGACGATAATTAATGCGCAATTTTCTTATCCTTTATAGAGGGTATTAACTATTATTGCAGTTATTAGAGTCCTCTGGCATATACTTATGTCCTAGAAACTGCTTGAGTCCGCCTGTCAAATGTCACTGCGGGAGAGATGAGACATTCAGCTAAATGTTAATATAATACACCATAACATAAAAAATATTTGTCTTCTTAAAAGTAGTGCGTAACCATTAAATGTATATCAAGAATTGTACAAATGCGCTTTTATTAAATAGTCGGACAAGTTCATGGGAATGACAATGTTATGAAATACACAAACCTTAGGAATCAACAATTCATTGGTTGTTTACTGCGGAATTCCGGATTTATAGTGTTATCGTTAATATGGATGAACTGATTCAGATGCATTTGCGGTGTACTCAGTTTTGTTCGCGATCACATGTAAGTGAATCGCTTGGTTCACTTACGTATGCCAAAAATTTCTGGTTACACATAGATATACTGGGTACAATAATCTGACGTATTACAATGATTTTTTGCTAAACGAACAAATAATCGTGATGAACAGCAATGACTCTCTCTTATACTTTTACTGCTGTGATTCTCCTACAAGTCTTGTGTCTGCTGTGCTATCATATTGTTTGCATGGTCATACTGCATACGTAAATGCACTAGAAGTTCTTCAATACCAGTACCGAATTTAGTCGAAATAAAGAATATCGAATAACCAGGAAACTGCTGCCGAATAGCATCCTTATCAAACTGTAAAAATATAAAGCAGTTGACAATTTTCATCACAAATTTTGTCATCTAAGAAGTATTCATCTGATCCAGCTGAAATCATGGAGGTTCCTATAATTAATATAAAGTGCACAAACGACAACTAGAAATAAAACTGCCGATATGTAAAGTGTCCACAAAAAGTTCCAGTAAATTCGGCTCTAAAGATTGAAAAACAAAAATATGAACAAAAGCATACATCCAGTGACGCCAAATCCATTTTATTTATAATAATGGTGCTAGATCGACTACCTAAACCTTGCTGGTACTGATTGACTTCAAATTTTAATGAATCAAACTGCTCCTGGAAATCAAAGTCTCAAATATAGTCTTTTATTTGAATTACATATTAAAGGCAAAAATGCAGCAGAACAGAATACACCCTACTTTAAAATAATGAAAGTAACCAACCCGTAATTGAGATAGTGTTAAATCCAAAACATAAAACAAGCAGTGGCACCGTGTAATATGCTTTAGAAAGCTATGTCCAAGCCCGACATCTAAATGTGATCCTTCGACAAGACCAGGAATATCTGCCACTAAAAAACTTGGAAATTCATTGCGTTGGTTTCAAAACCGAAAACTTCAGACTTGAAAAATATGTTCAAACGTACCAGCAATTTGTGTGAAATCGTCGTAATGCACAATACCGACGTAGGCTGTTAACGTAGTAAATGGATAACAAGCCACTTTTGGTTTAGCTCTAGAGATCACACGCAGAAGTGAACTGAAAGTCCGAATGCGGAAAATATTCTCAATATAAACCAGATAGACAGCAATTATTTTTCCTTAAGATTATGTAAAAAGAAAAAAAAAGGAAAAAGAAAAAACTGCTAAACATCCGGAAAATTTTGAAAAGCCAACGATTTTCCAGCGTTAGGGTATCCTATTAATCCAGCAGTAGCAATTCTGCACATTTCCACGTCATATGTTAGCTGAAATGATAGTTCTAGAAATAGTTAAATAAATAAACATCTTTAGCAAAAAGTTTTCCACCAATTCAATGCAAATTTTCCAAAGCAGGCCTTTAGTAAGCAAGGATATAAAACTTCACAACTAAAAATAATGCGAACAAACTAACCTCTTCACCTATTCCACCTAATTCAGCCTTCAATGGAACTCGTACTTCATTTGTTTTATAAAATTGATTGCCGTGGCCACCAGCACCTCCCCTAGCAGCAAGGAAGACCGCTCCCTCTTTGTTCAAATCAGTTATTACCTGGAAGAGATTTGAGTTGGCAATAAATATTGTAATTCAAACTAAAGATTGGAAAGAGAGGAGTAACAACAACACTAGAACTTACCCTTTCGGTGTGCGGTTCCTTAAACATAGTTCCTATAGGTACTTTGATTACTTTATGTGGAGCACTTTTCCCATGGCAACTTTTCGAATGACCACCTTCACCATTCATCGCTTTTATCATAGTTGGTAAGCGAGAAAGATCTTTAACAAGTGGGTCCACTGAAAACATTACTGTCAAATTACCAGTCATTTATACAAAACGTATTGAAGTTTTCTGACCTCTATGTATGAAACCAAAAACCTTCGAAAATAATGTGACCACCATTTCCTCCATCACCTCCATCTGGACCGCCGAACATGACACCTGCTTCACGTCGAAATGAAACCATGCCATCGCCACCATTACCGGCTTTACAATTTATTCTCCTTTGATCAACAAATGATTTTGCCTCAAAAAATAAACGTAAAGATGAAAAAGTATGCCGACTATGTAAGTAATAGCAGTAATCAGCAGCGACATTTGGGGATATTTGGAAGGTAATTAAATTACCTCGCCTCTTCGATTAGTCTTATCCGGAATGATTGGTCGTTTGGTTAATCTCCTCGACGACGTAGATGATGATGCACGAATGGCAAGAAACCATGTTTTAGCACCGAGTTTTAGCAACATCCAACCATACTTTTTTCAAATCCTGTAAATCGTGGACATTAAATCCTCCTGTTGACTCAATTTATGCATAAACTGATAACCAAAACATTTCGCTAATTCATCAAAGACTCCCTTATTCAGCAATAAACGAAGCCTTAAAAAACCTGAAACGCCCCCTGCAGTACCCATTTCATTCTCTATCAAAAATCTCCAAACTATCACGTCTGATAACTCCCTCCAGTTTTCAAAATCACAATGATTTACTCATCCTTCACTCAGAGAAGGGCTTCATGCTCGACATCTAACGGCCCTCAGAGACTATATTAGAGACTAAGACGAAGGTTTATTATCTTCATCTTTTACAGCCTTCAGAAATAATTTATCTATTTCGTTGCACGATATAGAAAAGATCTGAAAAAGACCTGTATATAATTATGATACAAACTTGAAAGCGAGACAAAACTTATTATATTAACAAAATGTAAATTAAAAGAAGCTATATGATGGGAGAGCAATATGATGGGAAGTAAAAGATTGCAATATTAAAAAAATTGAATCGATATTATTAAAAATGTATGTGTTTTCAAACTAATTTTTTTTTAAACATAGAATTGTGGTATTTATTAACAAAAATGATTTAGCTAAAACTGTTCATGAATTCAGGTCTTGACATACCATCAAGTTTCTTCTCCAACTTACAAGAAATAACGCTTGTGTTGTGTTTCAATTGAAACTAACGGTTCTGCAAAGATTCCCAAAAAGTCCAAAATTTAATAAGAACAACATCAGTACATTCATTTCAACACTACGTCGAATATTTTTCTAAAAATTTTGAAAGTATACACCATGTCGAACATTCTAAAAATTTTGGAAAAAAAAGCGGTAAGGCCGTGAACAAAAAATCCAGTTAAAAAAGTAGTCTCTTGACTATTAAATAAAATTAAATAAAATTAAGCAACAAATTCTTTGCAAAAAGATCTCCAGAACTAAAAGATTTTAGAAATAAGCGTACCATAAAATGCCACACATTAAGTGGTTATATTACAATAAAACCTGCTCATAAATATACAATTTACACTTCGTTACCACATCCAGAATTGGAAAAGTACGCAGCAATCCCATACTTCGAGTTTATCAATTTTTGCCAGGCTGATTCAAAATTGACCTAAGCTGCTTCAAATCTAAATTTATATAATTCGTTGCATTGAAAACTGGTTTGCATAGTGCAAGATGAAGTTGAATTAGATGAATACAGGTCCAAGATCTATGTCACTACTAAACAATTGCTTTTAAATCCAAATCATTAAAACAAGTGAACAAATTACAGATACTGTGATAATGATTCAGAGATTCCTGAATTTTGAAAAAGCACTGGTTTCTGAGGTACTGCAGTGCGGCCATGATTAAGGGCTGATATTTTAAACTTCCAGACGTTTTTTCAATTCTTCGTCAATTCGATTTCGTAGCAAACGGCACTGATCATCAGTAAGTTCAAGTTGTCTTGTTAAAGCTTTGGCAACACGTGCACTGTTATCATTCTGCAAGAATGATAACCATCGTAATAAATAACAGTTAGAATTTATAACCTGCATTTTGGTAAGTAAAGCAAGCTGGGAAAACCGTTAACATATGAGAACGCAGAAATCAGTACGGATCTATAGTAAGGCGATTCCAAATGATCAAAAAAAAAGAAAAAAGCATACTGCGTGAACAATCTGCTCAATTGGATTACCATCCTGACCACGAATATTAAGTTTGAAAAGCGGTTCATTTCGCGCAGGTGTTGCAACAATAGCAGCAAGATCAGAACGTCTCCTTGTGTCTGTATTCTGTTTCATTAAAGTCGGACTCGGAATCACTGTTTCTGTAGTCATTTGTAATCTCTCATGCTCTTCTTTTGTCATCTGTTCTATTAGACGTCGTCTAATTTCTTTACGCAGTTCTTCCTTCTCATCCTTCATGTGAGAATCCTGTGACTGTATATATATATATTACTAAATCCCAACTTTTGTGTTCATAAGTTCATAAGGAGTGTTCACAAGCAAGTCTAACTGACTAGCTGAAAAGTTAAGAAAAAAACTTGTGCTTATATACACATAGTAACATGGCACTTCCTCACTTCTTCATTCTTCGTAATTTTCACAGTAATGTTACGCAGATGAGGAGGTATATACAGTGGATCACACGTTTTCCTAGGCCTCTCTGTAAGTAAATAAATGAGCAAAAGAAGAGGTAGATGAAAATACTGCTAGATATATAGAAATATAGTTTCTTCATTGTTATGAATAATAATGTGAAATAATAACCATACATACTGAAAATGACAACCCGAAGATGTTGTAAAACTTAAAATTTTCCAGAATAGTAATCATGTGCACTGATGATATAATGCGTATTTTCACCATAACCTACCCTATTTTTTCTTCCTACCTTAACGGACTGAGCTTTCGATCAACTAGAAGGATAAAGCACTGATTCTAAAGAGTTTAAAAATCAATAAAGGATCATGACAAAGAAAAGGTTAAGAAGTCACCTAGATGGCGATACGAAGATGTGACCCTTCTTTCTGATGCCAATTTATCATATTCATCCCTAAACAAATCAGTTGAGCTATATAACCATAAAAAAAGAAATAAACTGTCATACAAGCAAGTAAATACAGATAGTAGACAATATATGTAAGGATAAAGTGTCTAGGAAGCTCGAGATTCTGAAAAATTCTCGACATTAATTCTGAAACGAATTTTATGAACTATCTGGTACAGTTCACATGATCTAAACACGATTTCTGATTAAGATCTTACACTGTGACAACTATATAAGTGATGTTTCCCCTCAATAATTCTACGATTAACAATGTCTACAGAAGTCAACAAGTATAACAAAGCGTAAAAAACAAACCTGTCAATTTGATTTCTCACAATACTTTTCATAAATCCATGGTTCATATTTAGTCGTGGAGCATTTTGTGATTCCACTTTAACATTATTCATTTCATCCAAATTCAATGTTCCAACAGAAGTCCTTCCCCATTTTGAATTATCATGCCTCTGCAGATTATCGCAAAAACTCATCTGTGAAAAACTATTAATTACTGCTAGCAATAATAGTTGTATCAACGCACAAAAAAGATAAACAGGTTCCAGATATAAAAGATTATAGAGATTTTCCTGATAATAACAAATAGAGATTTTCCTTTTTAATAACAGACGTTATCATCTGTTATCTTAGACGATACATCTTTATTAAATGATAATAGATAATCAACACAGGGGATTTTTTTCTTTTCTCAGTGAATCTCAATCATGGAAGTTAGTGCTGTTAACAGCACTAATCTTTTTTTTTTACATACATTCTACTTCCAATGAGTCACAGCAATGTTGTTGTTACCTATAACTCTTTTTGTCTACCAATCACTATTATCACATAAATCATGCTCTTTTTTAGCATTTCTCATCCTGTGACATTACTATACCTCCACCTCTTCACCTGCCAAGAACCCCACTTCATCCTAGACAAAGTCCTTAAATCTATCGACCTTCGGACTATGCCGCCGCACCTGTCAAGAGTTCCAGAAAAGCGGCCATTCCGTTACGCGGATTGAAAATCCAAACTCCATTGTGCATCTTGAACACAAAATCGAACGTTCTGCAGGTTCTTCCCGTTCCTGTTTAAGGTTGCACAACTTGCATATCCCTCATTACCTTTACGATACATTTTTACATAATTTGAAATAATGAAGGTTTGGAGAGTTACTAATTAGTAGGCCAATTAGGAAGGATAAAAATATAAACTGATATCAACGGCGAAGTCTTCGATCATCATTGAAACGTTTCTATTTTGTGGAACAGAGCATCGCTTTCTAAAGAAAGCCAGTTAATCATAAGAACAATCAGGAAGAAAACTGATCATTACTATAGATTCGAACGAATATTCATCCCAAAATAGTGAGGTTTAATGCTAGCTGAAGTGTTGTTGTATATTAGGGATTACCTAATTTCTTGGGTCCAATATAAGACATTTCTCTAGAATAAATTGGGTCACTGATCTCGAAAATGCCTCATCGATGATTTAATGAGCTTCACCAAAGTAAATGAATACACTGAGCACCGTCTAGTCGGCTAATATTGCTAAGACCTAAAAAAGTGAGAAAGGTTCGGCAGTTAAAATCCTTCTGAATGTTATTGGATGCAATCTTTGATTTGTCTAACGGATCCTGCGGACAAAATTTCCGTTATAATGGTGATTTGTCGGCAATCAGCTGACCTACATGGTTTGAAGTATTAAAAATCTCAAAGTTTTAGTCAGTGCAGCCATAACAAAGGTACCCGACCAATGTACTGTAAAACTGTCAGTTGATGATTTAATAGAGCTTTTAAATCGATGACAGTTTTTACTTGGTCTGAATGGTGATACTCAGTGATTTCAATCTTTTATTGAGAACAGTAAATAGAAGAAATACGACAAACATAGGGAAAACAAGAAATGCTGGAAAAGGAACCGCTTAGTGAATGAAACCATGGCGCAGTTTTTACAAATACAATAATAGCTAATCAGGACAAAGAAGAGAACTACCATCCAGCGCAATCACATTTACTAGGAATCAAAGAGAACAATAATGATTGTGATCACAAGTTATGCTGAACATGTCATATCAAAATTATGTCCATCGGTATTCCATTCCGGTCGCCGATTTCCTTGTTTTATGTCGAAACAGAATCTCCATCTCTTCACTGGATTATAACTTATAAAATAACAACTTGACCTTTAATTACTTCTGCATTCAGTAAATGACAGAGCAATTAAAGATCAAGCCCTAACATTCACTTCAGGTTTAAAGCCGACCATCTAATCCTAGCGTGACTTTCGATTACAACAAAGCCGCCATTCGGTCATCATATATTTGGGTCGTTATGCAATTTTTAGTAAACCAAGAGTGGGGACAAGAAGACTGGCATAGGCTATCATTTGCTGGAGCCTTCGTATTTCGGTACTTCATTTCAGTCACCATTTTCCAATCAGCGTTCCGGAACAGTTTTAGACTGCTTTAACACTTTTCGTAATGTAACCCTTCAAATTTCCATTATGACTTTTCATCACAGAAATGGATTTGATCATTTTCTTTATTGGAGCGCTCGTAAACATATGAAGAGAAGCAAGCGATACCCCCAACTGTAACAGTGATGTTAATGCACTAGTACGGATAATAATCAGTGATTGAACATCTAATTTTCTGAAGTTTGTTTGCATCCATCCTAGAATGGAATATATTGGCGAATATTTGAAAGGACGAACTTACACTTTCTGACTAAAGGACTGAAAATTTTCCATTCCAAATTAATGGTTCAATTTTCCATGATTTAGTCCTTCGAAGGTCAAGAAATTTCTATTGAATGAGAAAAAAGTTCCGATTGCAATGTTCTGGAAGAGTTGAGTTTGAAGGATTTCAATTATAATGATATATAATCATAAGAAATGTTAGACGCAATATATTAACTGAATCTGTCAAATGTAATGCATGCTGAATATATGCATAATTTTATTAACAGAAGAATGAGAAGAGAAATGATGAAAATGGGTCGGACGAAGGAAACTATCCCATCCATCACTGAACAAAATATCCATCCTTTGAACTCCTATGTTGAGGTTGCAATAATTCCACGAAAGTTTGCTTGACAACTACAGCACAGACTTGTTCAACTTCGACCTGAAAACTGAATGGGTGGTATTGAAATCTGAATTGAAAACAATAAATTCCCTTAAAAATTTCGCGCATTTTATTACAATGATTGCTCTACCATGAAGGTATTAGATATTAAAGTTTCAACTACTTATGTTAAATAAGCTAACTATAAAATTAAAAGAAAGAGAGTGTCCTGTATTAGAATAAATGAGTGCACAGTATTAGAATATCTAAAGACAACGTTCTGAAAATCCATTAAAAAAAAAATCTCAAATTTTTTATTTGCAAAATAAATGGAAACTATCATTTGGCTCTTCAGTGTCGTGTAGGACATAACCCATTATATGGCCATACCAAAAAATCTAAGAACCAAAAGGTTATTTTATTTACTTCACTTGATGGTAATTCAAATTTTCAAAAAACAAGTTTATCGTAATAAATGCGCTGGAATGTTTTGAAAGAAAAAAAAAAAATTGACCAACTTTCGTTTGTTCACCGCGTGTGTGCCTATCAGAGAGTCCCTCTTCTCGAATGTATTTGGTAAAAGTAAGCAGCTTGTCATTTTGTAAGAAATTAGCTGTCATCAGCTTTTTTTCTGAAAATTGTAAGAAAGATTTTAATAATGTACTAATTTTGCTTGAGGAGGATAATGCTTAAATAGGAAAGAATAACGGGAGAAGGAATGGAAGGAAATCGAACTTGGAGCTACCTGCTTGCTTCCTGATAATTTATTTTTCTCTAATGAGGCAGATCTCAGTGACCACCTATTTCCGGAAAAATTATTACCAATTAAAAAAGTGAATATCAGGCTGAATAGCAAATTTTCTAAATTAGGAAATTTAGAAAAATTTTCTAAATTAATTTCCCAAAAATTCTCTTCAATCTCGAATCGGTAGTGAAGGAAAACACTAAAAAAGGATAGTTTCATCAAATTACGCACAAGTGGAGAAGATATGCAAATACCATTTCAAGTAGTGACCTTGAGAAGAACAGGGCAAAACTTTTGGTAGAAACAGGAATAAAAAATAAATACATGGAATGAAAGTGTTCTAACAGATGGCGTTTGAGAATAGGTAAGATGGGAGTTCATTTTTGCAGTCATGACTTTCGAGTACTGAAATAAAGGAAATCAAGGATAAGAAATCCAAGAAATATTATAAAAAATGACAAAGAATGGCCGATGAAGGGAGCAAAGAATGAAAAATGACAGAAAAATTGCAAAAAAAGTATTGAGAAAAGGTGTCGGGGGACATAATTTTACGCTCCTACTGAACATCAAGCCTTCAGAATGCAGTAACTTCCTCTTTCAAAATAATAGAAATTATTGAAAGAAATTAAAAAAGGCTACTGATAATCCAAACAGATGAATATATGAAAACAATTAGGCTTGAAATGAACAATTCAAATTTGAACAGAAACTTTTTTCAATAAATTATGGATTGTTTCTCAATAAATTGTGGAGCTTTTTTCAGTATAGATTTCTACACATTCCATTTCAAATCAGACATATATCTGGAGAAAAAATTTCAGTTATTCAAGGAAAGAAAGCCCCTTGCAAGCATTTTTATAAGCGGTGAAATCAAATGAAATCTTTAGTAATTTTTGTTCAGTACAGGGATAATTCGATGAACCACTGACAAAGAAATAATGCTCACAAAGCAAACTTCCAAAATATGAATGGGATGATTTATTGAATTTCCCTGAAATATCATCATCCAAAGTCGCCAAGAAATTGCCAAATATTCCCATTAGATAGGAGTAATTTTCGTTCTACTCAGAATCGCAAAATACACTGATTTTCTTCCTCCTAACTTTTTTTACACAGCACAGAATATAAAATGAAAAAATCATGGGATTTGCCAATTTAAACAAGGATGCTCGAAATAGTCTTTCATGGTACCACAAGGTGCGGGGTACAATAGCTGATATTATTACTTAGATTTGAACAATAATGATAAAGCCATGTTTTCTTAAAAACAACTTGAATTATGATGTGATGAAAACTGTATTTAATGTATAATGAATGACAGGGAGAATTCTGTTCCCTTCAGAACAGTTTTATTTCAAAGATCGGAAACAAATTAATAATGGGGAAAGAAGAAACGGAAGGATGAGGTCGAGGAATGGCTGTATTGTGCTTAGCTTTGGTAACCTAGCTTTATGAAGCCAGTAACTTACTCATACAGCTAGATAACCAAAGTAAAGTTGCAATACTTGAGCCCAGATATATTGCTGTTGACAATGTAGATAAATAAACTTTTGCTCGATCATAGCAAATTTTCTCTGCTTACCAAAATTATTTTTTCTTTAAACAAAGCATCAGATTTCCTACATCTGAGATAATAGTAATATGTAAAAGGAACAAAAGCAGATAGATTATGAGGAATCATTGATTGTTGACAAGTATGACCAAATTTTCAAGCCAATAACTTTATATAAGGAGACAAAAAGGCAATTCCGAATTTTCGATCAACCAAATAATGTCATGTTAGCTAACAATGGAGAATGACATAAGTATCTCTTTGAACTTGAAGTCGCCAGATACCGGTTACTTGAATCGGACATCTTGTGACCATTGCATAGACGAGATGGATTTCTGATGTAAGTTCGATTTAAATTAAGCAACAGTAAGTAATAATAGATCAAAGGAATGAAAAAGAACCATGGCTAATATTTCACCGCTGATACTGTCAAGTAAAAAAAAAAATGATAATAGTAATAATGAAAATAATAGAATAATGAGTGGAGGAAGTGCCCATCTTTTGTATTTGTCAGGTGGAGATGTACAGAGACAGAGGAATGTGTGCACCTACGACTGACTATAAACTGGAGAAGATACACGGACGCAGGGTTACCGGAACCAATATAGGAGTAGGAGCAACACCATCTATACACCAAGCACTCTTCTCCTTCCACATTGTGATATATTCAAAAAGCAATTAACCAATTGAAGGTCGTCATCAGCCACGCCCTACCATACTATATTCTCGAAGTAACGCTGCCAATGATCAATTGTTGTCAAAGATGGCAAAGGACAGGTAGATAGACAGACTAACCAACGGATGGATGGACAAAGATCAACAAGTGGACAGAAATTTGGTGTAATGACCGAAGATGGGAAATTGGACACAGAAACAATAGCAGTAGGGAAGAAGAAAATGAGCTTATCAGTGATTTACTTTAGTCCGAATCTGTTGTCGCATAAATGACCTTGACGATATCTACAAACACAGACAAACTTGCCGGGGATGGGCAGCTCCTGTTGCTCTCAATTGTAACTATACGATTTTCTATCAAGCGACATCTAATCGATGTAGTGGTCAGCAAATATTTCTCAGGTCTTGATAACATACAAAGTAATAAAACTGATCTCCTAAAGTTTATAATATTACGTTTCTTTGCTGTTCATGTTTGTCTTATTTTTAAATGTGAAACTAAATACTATGAAGTTACCGTGTCATTTATTCGGTAACTAAATGCTTTCACAGACAAAAATACCTCCATAATTTTCAAATATATCAAGAAATCTAAACAAATTATTAAACTGTTATCACGCAGGCACCATAACTTGTATCTTATTAGAAACCATTACTTTGTGAGTCAGCAACTCAGTAAGTTGGATGATCAAATTTTTCTTCTACAAAATACTGAAATTTAAAAATGCACAAAATTTAAGATTTTTAAAAATTTCAATTTAAAAATCTTATAAAAACATCCTGCATAAACAGGCACCAACCAAGCTTACTTAAAATGTCAAATTTAAGTGATTCTAACTGCCCATGATTTCTGGCATATTTTGCAAAGAATTTCTCTCGAAAGAACGCTTCGACATAGAGCTCCTTACTTCATTCATATTTGCAGTGATTTATTAGGTCCTGAAGTTACTTAAAAGCAACTGCCGAAAATAACTTTATCAAATGGAAAACCGACTTGTTTCTTTCATGCCTTCATTTGGTCTCTTCCTCCTTCCTTCTTCCTTACCTCCTTACCTGCCACAAATACATCATTAGGTCCTTCATCAAGCACTCCTCCTCCTTCCTGCCTTTTCCTGCCTTCCTCCAACAGCAACTAGTTCTTAACTTTTCTATAAAGGGATATCACCACAATCTGTCAACATTTCGCCATCTTCTCCTGCTCTTCTCACCAGTCTTCAGGTTACTGCAACATCGAAACATGTTTACAGAAATAGATATTATGTTTACATATATATATATATATATATATATATATATATATATATATATATATATNTT